ACTCTAATCATCAAAATGCTCTAATGCAATCAGATAACATCCAAAACAAAATCAATCAAAAAAAAACCCTCGACAAATCTCACCAGAACTTGAACTCCGGCAGCTGAGGAACAAAAGGGCGAAACTCATCGCCCATCAGCGATCCCAGCGGGGTTGACTTGAGGGGTGATGAAGGCGATGAACTTGCCGAGAGCGTAGATTGCGAGCGCGTACGTCACCAAGTAGAAGCCCTGGAGGATCTCCACGCGTGCGATGTAGATTAGGGCTAGCAGCGCGAACCCTAGCCACCGCCGGCGCACGTGCAGGGTCGATTTGTCGAGGAGGTGCTGGTACCGCTGCGAGATGTCGCTGATCCATGCCGGGACGCGGTCGAAGAGGAGGAGGAGGAGGCGGAAGGGACCATGGTTTCGTCGGGGCCTTGTGCTGAGGAACAGCGGAGATATTTTTTAAGGATTTATTTAAAGTAATTAAGAAAACCTCACATAAAATAGGCTAATGAGTAATGACCCGTTCGGATGAGAGGAAGTATTATTAAAAATAAAAAGTAAATTAGATAAGTAACTTATAAAGTGAGAAATAGCGAAAGTACTATTTTTTTTAATTAATTTTTTTTTTATACAAAGGTGATACGATTGTTAGCAAGTAGCCAAAATTTATCATCTCAAACTATCTAGTAAATTTAGAAAACCAAAAGATTAAAAAGTTGATAACAATAATAACACCAACATCAACAATAATAATCATGTCATACTCCCTTTGAAAGTACGAGTTCAGAAAAATCTTTTAATGGTCAACATTACCCTTAATATTTTTTAGATGTTATATTGTTATCCTAATCTATATTCTAATTATCATATCTTTTTTAATTGGTAATTAAATAATTTATCTTATTCATAATGAGACTTAACATGTTATTGGATAAAGAAGATACGTTTGATACAATTCAAATCCTTTACTTATTTCAATTCGCAGAGAAATCTAAAAAACATATCTTAGCGAACACCTAAAAAATTTTAGACTTTGTAAAAAAATATCCTCCAAATTTTTTAAATTGTGAAAATACCCCTAAAAATTTTAAATTTTATTAAAACATCTTGAAAATTATAAATTTTACTCATTTTAATTTAGTGAGAAATCTGAAAAACATATGCTAGCTAGAAATTAAAAGTTTTTTAACTTAGAGAAAATGCCTTATAAGTTTTAAAAATTACAAAAACACCTCTAAAAATTTAAAATTTGTTTAAAACACCTTAAATTTTTTTTAACGTATAAACACACTAAAAATGTACAAATAACATAAACAATCTTAGAAAATTTACGGAATTTGTAATAAGCACTATAAACTTTTTATAAATTATAAAATAAAATCCTCAAAATTATAAAATTTTATAAAAATCATGATAATTTCCAACCTAACGGTACATTAAAAATATAGGAATTAGAAATATCCCCTACATAATTTATAATTTATAGAAAACACCCTTAAAGTTTCAAAAATTACAAACAAAAACTCAAAGTTTAAATTTTACAAAAAACGCCCTAAGAATTTTAAACTCATTAGTAAATTGAAAACATAGAAATTATAAATAGTCTATAAACAATTTACAATCTATAGAAAAGGCCTATAAGTTTAAAAAATTACAAAAAATCCCTACCATGAGAATTTCTAACCTATCTACACTAAAATAAATATACAAAATTACTAATAACCCCTAAAAAATTAAAATTTTGTAAAAAAATGTCATACTCCCTTTAAAAGTATAGGTTTAGAAAAACATTTTCATGGTCAATATTACCCATAACTTTTTTGAAAAGAACATAACTAACTGAATATATATTAAATTTAAAATTTATAAAAAACACCCTTAAAGTTTAGTACATTACAAATTACCCCTCCAAAGTTTAAAATTTACAATATTTTTTGTAATTTCTTAATTTCAATGTAATATTTAATAGTTTTGTATATTTAAAAATTACAAATTTAAGGGGTTTTTTTTACAAATTTTAAAACTTTTGAGGGTGTTTTCTTTTGTAGTTTTCTAAATTTTATTGTGTTTTTAATGTGATACATAGATACGTCAACTAATGATGATATTGAAGAGTAAGCCGTTATTAAGATGTATTAGGCCATAGTTAAGTGTGCACATCACTATTCTGAGATAGTATAGTTTAATATATGCAAAAAAAATCAGACAATCTATATAGTGGTTAAAAGGATTTTTACTTTAATGTACTATTTTTTATAATTTATATTTAATGCGAACCCACCATTTAATTCTGATTGTCGTCATCATAATTTTAATATGTTTGATTGATTGACTAAATATGTATATAGACTATAGATTACTTTACTTTCTCACATAAACTAATATTTGGTGCTTGATAATTTAAATCATTATTTTTTAATTTAATATAAAGGGGAGCTCTAATAACACTTATTTATTTACCTACAAGATAATACAATCTCAATTCCTATTATTTGCTTCAGATTTATTTCATAGTTACGCGTATCAAATTAGTAACTACAATAATAATTATTTATGCTTAAATTATGATGATTATATTTGGTCACTCACTATAGAATTTTTATGAATATATACACCTTACTTTCTGTAGCTATCTTCACGATCCACGTATATTTTATAAATTAGTTGTTAATTTGACATATTAAATTACTTTTTCTTTGTAAAATTTCTTGTTTAACTTTTGGATTGTGTAATCACTATATCACAATTCTAGCATAACAAGGACCTCACTCTAAATGGATTCAAGCCAATGTTTGAGTTGAACTGAAGTATATAATATCAATACTATTGTAGGCGTATAAAATTGCCTATAGGTCCCTTAGCACAGCTCGACGATGCCGATTCGACAGAACGAAAGAACCATGGCAGGCGAACGCTATCCAATACAAGATCGTTAATCACGCAACACCGAAGCCAAACGACACGCGTTACCGAAGCGGTGATAAAGCTAGGCTACGAAGCCCAGAATGAACCGCACGTAAACAATGGAATGGATCCACTCACGTCGGAATCAAGCCAACGGGTTGATTCATCAATGAAGTCATTCAACCAAATACAGACTCGGACGAATCGTGATCGAATCGAAATCCAAGCTTCGGACTTGAACTCAGAAGTGGACTTACTGCGCTAATCAGGAATCGGATCAACAAATTGAATCCCGAACAAGTTCAACCACCACAACCGAGTCGAAGTCTAAATCAAATCACGAATAATCGAACGCCGAATGACGGAATCCGAACCACGAAAAGCGAACACAAGCCCAAACCCCGGGGACTCGGCTTTGAAACCGCAGGCCACCCCAAGCTGTGCTCGCCAAGCCCAGAGCCACGCTGAGGTGGCTCGGGTCGGCCGAGCCACCCCAGGGTGGCTCGCCGAAGGGCGAGCCACCTCAGGGTGGGCTCGCGCAATAGCGCGAGCCACCTGAGGTGGCTCGGCCCAAAGCGGTTAGCGCACCCACGAGGTGTCTCGTGCCTAGGCAACGGCCAGCCACCCTGAGGTGGCTACGGCTCTTTTGGGCGCGAGGCCACGCTCATGGGTGGCTCAGGCCATGGCCGAGCCACGCCATGGGTGGCCTAGCGCCCTGTTTTCGTGCCAAGGCAACAGTTTCGAGTGCTATAAATAGGCCTTGTGCGCTCATTTGTTTTAGGGTTGGAAATTTTTGGCGAGAAGAGCGCGAGCCATGCATGGATTGAAGACTTCATTGATGGCTAAAAAGATCACAACTTATGAAGGCTTTTGGAGAGTTGGACTTTTCAGGATCCGCGGTGCTCGGCCGCATCACCACACCGCCGAAATAAAGCAGGAGTTCGAGAGGCATTGGATTTTGAGATCTACACGCATGCACACTCGGATGATCTACAGCCTTGGTTCTTTAGATCCGCGAGATTCGAGCGGCGTTTGTTTCCTTGGCTGAAACAATCTCTCCCGGCGTA